TACACATACACCCCAAAGCTTCCAGGTTTTACACTGGAAACAAAATTGAAATTTTGAATTTGAAAAACACGGTAAATATTTTTCCTCCTTAAAATATCCAGCTTTTCCTCCCTTGCTCTTTGGATCCCTTTCTGTCTTTTTACAAAGCACTGAAGTTTCAGTCCTTGGCAAACTTCTCCTCCTTCCACAGAAGCTGACAGCTTTGTTCACTGAATATATTAAATGTTAATGAACATTCTGTGTCATAACATCCACTGAGTCAAGTGTCAGAGAATGCTACAAGTGCAATACAATTCTGATTGCCTGCAACTATGTAAAATTACATGGCTACTTTGAGGATCAAAGAATGCATTACAGACTTGCTAAGGATTTATTTTCAAATTCAGCTGTGTACAATCATTTTTTGCCAAACTGTTTTTTTAACATCTAACTAATAGATATACACACCCAGAATCACAGATGATTTAAGTAGTAAGGCATACACTCCCTTCGCACTGAGGCTTTAATTTGAAGTCCTTCCTTTCTGCATTACACTTTTAAAAAATAATGAGTATTTTGGTCCTAAATTTTAATATTAAAAACAGAACTTTTATATCCATTATCATGTCTCATCTATGCATATGACCCCCTCATCAAAAGGACAATAAAAGCATATATCAGAAATGTTGGGGGAAATTGCACACATAGGATATGGTATAGCATATTGCATCACTTGATATATCATTTGATTATTCAAAACTTAACAATGTATAGTGAGAAAGTTCTGTGCCCGAGGCTCAGGCTTCCCACTATAATGTTGATCTGAACCTAAGACACAAAACCAGTTCAATTATTCCACAGTTCTTTCTTTTGTAGGTTTGTGTGTGTGTGTGCTCTTTCAGTGAACACAACCTTGGCTTGCATTTATCTAAATGAAAGATAAATGAAGAGAAGCTTTATCTTCTGCTCTTTTTTCTAGCTCAAAATATTGCATCTAAGCTGCTTTTTTTCACTTGTAGAGAGAAAGATACAAGATCCACTTGGGAAAAATGGGGAGGGGGACGGGGAGGATGGTTACATAGATTTTCTTCACATGTCTTTCCTCTATTTAGACATAGCTTACCCATATGGCTTTTTTACAATGGGGGGGGGATGGCGGGAGGGACAGACGAAAGAGAAAGGTGTGCTGCAGAACTGTACCATGCTTCACTCAATGCACATTTTAAAACAACTGGGTGGTATTCCATTACCGATTATTCTCTTTTGTACACACTTGATGGTATGATCTGTGATGTGCTGTCTATGCAGTTGTTCAGAGGTGAGGCAGTATCAGTGCAACATGAAACAACCAATTGCACATATAACCGCAGATCAGATCATATCTAAACATATGGAGAATACAATCTCAGCTGGTTAGTTACTGTCTCTATGTACAATTTACCTTATAGACCTGTTTGGATAAAAATAGAGTCACAAAACATTTTGTATGCTGTTGCAGTGTTATAGAAATAAGCAACATTTCCTAACAATAAGGCTACTTTCTAAATCTGAATTCGTATAACTGGAAATCAAAAACCGGATATGTTGTCTGGAGTAATAAATAGTCCAATATTTTTCAAAAAGAAAAGATTTCATTTTTCATGACACAAATATTACCAAGCAAACCTAAAAAATCTGAAATTGCATTGAGTTGGCAAGTACTGATATCCTATCAGTATAAAAAAAACCCCCAATGTATATAGCTAGCCGTATTTCTCAGTTCAGTGTATTCCATTTTAAATATTGTGTTCATCTGATTCTAGATCAGCTATGAAAACACTAGAATTAATTTGATTTTTTCTCTCTCTAGCTAACAGCATAATGGAATGCTAGAACAATGTCTCTACTTCATCTGAGATGTTTTAGGACATCATTATGTGAACTACAGTTTCGGATCAGGCAATTAAGGAAACTGCAACAGTAATAAATAAGAATGCTACATAATAAGGACTAGCTAATGAATAAGGACAGAAAACACTGTGATCTTCTTCTGTGGAAGTCCTATTGAAATGACATGGAGTGGAACATGAGCATATTTTGTGTGATTCACATGTATTCAGAGGAAATTAACCAGGGGAAATATATTGCTGAACTCAAGTTTATCTAAAGCATTTCGTATATTTTCTAGTACTCTATAGATGTCTAAGCCATTCCACAAAACATTTCCAGAAAACAAAATAATGTATTTCCACTCTCCTTTTACATTGATAACAAGCATAGATTACTATAAAAAGGGGAACAATGGTGACAACCCAGTTCACATTTCATTTGAAATAGATGGGGTTTGGTGAACGATCTTCTACTCAGTTTATACTTTGCAGCCCCTTATGTGCTTTGTATTAATGTCATTCAATTGGGAAAGCAAGCAACAAATACAGAACACTGAAAGTGCTTGTAAATCAATGTTTTAAGAACTATGCTACTTTTAAATCAATAGTGATTTGACTTTAACTGATTAATACTAATGGAAACTTAAGATGACATTTCATCCAACTGCTTTAATGTTAACTGTATTGCATGGTAATTGTTGTAACACCCAAATTAGTCAATTCCTCCACTTGGTCTTTTAATATTACACATACACAGACAGAACATTCCATTTCATTTGCCTGAAAACAAATATAAGCATATGTGAGTACAAAAAATAATATAAACATTCAAATGGTTGATTTAAGAAGGCCAAATGTCTACAGATTATTTCATTTCCATAGGAAAAAAACCAAACCTGCTTATACAGAAAGCAAAACAGAAGGCAAGGAAAATATTATATACATATCCTAAGTCTGGAAGTAACAGATATGATATTTATAATAACATACTATGTGTGCTTAATTCACTAAGTTTTTATAACATGCATACAAAATTATATCTATGCATATAATGTGAAATTCGGATGTACTTTCCTACACTTGAAATAATACTGGGTATATATTCAATTTTCTAAGGGAGCATATACATTTAATGTTTTCTATTCATTTGTATTTTTCAAAATGTATTTTTCAAAAATTTCAATCAATTTTACATGCCAAAACATTTAACTTATTAGAAATAAAATGAATAGAAAACATTAGTGTATGTGTTGACAGTAAAAAGAGGATAGTATATCTTTACTCCAACATCAAACTACTTGCTTTCAGAAATGCTCTCTATACTCAGTTTGGTATAAAACCATCAGAATTACTAAAATGAAATATATTCATTTTAGCAACAGGTTCAGAAAATCTGATCAAGGTAGGCATTTGGTTACTTAGGGGGGAAAATTAGCCCCCTATATTTGCCCACTTATACATTACTATTTTGGGAAGATGGGGTGAGAAAGATACGTGTCAAAATCATATTGAACTATTGTTTTGCGTATTTCTTTTGTGACTATACTAACTGAACGTGAAGATCAGAGTTTTTATATTTTTGATGAAGGTGAAAATATAATCCTATGTTGAAGCAGTGTATTTCCAGCACTTCAGTTGAGTCTTTAATTAAGATTTAATTCTTTAAACCTTACACATTTGATAGCTGATTCAAAACATGCTTTGGAAAACACATTTCTCCAAGATACTGTGTAACACAGTATCTAAAGAAATAGTGTTAGAAAATTGTATGTACCTAGTAAAAGTATTTATATAAGCAAACCATTTTGATATGTCTTCTTTCACTTTTCAATATTCCATATTATTCATATCTTCTTACAAATACAAGGACATTACTTTAATAGTTCAATTCACTACCTGCTTATAAGATGCAGTCAAAAAATAAAAATGGTTTTTCACCTGGAACTGCAAATCATAATTTAATATAGATACTTGTCAGGTCAATAGACAGTGTTTTTCTCATCATCTAATAATGCAGGATAAATAGCCAGGTAAAAACAGATACCGATTTACAAGGTTTCACTAGCTTTAATCCAGCAAATATAATAAGTGGCATCAGGTATTTAAACTGTTGTTTAAAAATAATTACAAATCTTGATGAAGTACACTTTCATTTCATAAAGAGAATGATAGTTTAAAGGGCATAGCATTTTCAATATACTTCCAAATTGTCAATTACAGTTTCATTTGAGTGATAACCTTTTGTTGTTAAATATTTCACTTAACAAAGCCAGAAAAAGCCACCTAGAAAGACAGGTAACTAAAGCAGTGTCAGCTAAAATAAACTTGAGATTAATAATTTATTTTGGATCAATGTGAAATGTATATTTATATCAGAAACCTAGAGATCTCAACTAGCTGAGGGGAAAGTTCGAAAGTGGCCAGCACACAGCCAGCAAAATCTATGTCCAAAAAGTAGCTCAAATCATTTCAATAAAATCTTAACTTTTTTAAAGAAAGCAAGGTAGAATTTAACTAAAGAAATATTGGTTGCCATTATTTTCAAACATTTTTGTGGAAGCAGCAAACCCTAAGAGGATCAACTGTATTTTATGTCATCAGCATTTTATAACTGCCACGTTTAAGTACTTTAGTGAAAATACCATGCGATGAAAGACTTATGAATATAAATAAAGCTAAGTCTCCAACTGCAAATCTTATCATTTTCTAAAATACATTTTCTTCAAAATGGCTAAAAGAGTCTCAGATGTTACCTTCTGGGTTCATAGTTTACAATGTACAAATTGTAATATGCATGCATATATGAACATACATAACTGCATTTAGATGTATACACACATATATGCATTATAGATCTTTTTTAAAAAAAAAACTAAAATATAAAATCAGCCAGTCTCAGTGCTGAATTCTGAATATGCTGGAGAAAGGTAATCAAATTTGTGCAATACAGTCTGAAGGCATCATCCTAAACATAATATCAACAGCAAAATAGTTGGCATAAACCTCATCTGAGTTCCAATAAAATAGGTGCTGGAGTCAATTTTGTGTGCCAACAAGAAAGCCCAAACTTTCAAAATTGTTGCCTTTACTAGCCTCAAGAGTTCACCTTTATCTCCCATGAAAATAAATGCCAATATAAAAATTCTAAAGTAC